CCCAGATCCTCTTTTTAATGCTGGAGTATTTGTTCAAGACTATAGATCTTGCATTTTTAATCTTTCTTAGAACAGTGGTGAATAATGGCCCTTGGCAGGAGATAATTAAATTTTCTTAATTTATATTTTTGAAGTGGAAGCCTCAATTGAAAATGGCATCCAATGGCCTGGAGACATAGCTCTGGTGCATGTTTCAGGGGAGCGATAATAATAATGCAGTGCCAATAGTGACGGGAAATGATAGGACAGTGAAGAAGTAATTTAAGGAAGAAAAGGGAATGTACCAAAGCTTTATTGTAGCATATCTAATGATCTGCAGAAGATTCCCAGTGGCTTTTGGAGCATGACAGGAGAAACTAATGTTATCTTGCCAAAACAGAAGTCTCTGTTTAATCACCAGAGCTCGACCATTGATTAAAACACCTCACCCAGATAGATTGCTCCTGGAATCTCATCTTCATACTTTTCTCTTGGTAAAGTATAATAATGAGCATATGATAATCAAAAGAAGGGCAAAAGCAATTTGTTGGGAATTGTACTTATTGAAATTACAGCAAGAAAGCAAACAAATTAGAATGGAAACAAAGAGCATTTTTAAAGCCAAGCACAGATGGGACAGACTTCCAGAGTGATAAATGAAAAGTGGCAAATGCAGGAACAGTGGAGATGTAACACAGCCTCCCTTCCTCATTTTTTTAAATTTTATTTTCTTTAGTCTTAAACATTTTCCTTCAGCTATTGTGTGAAGAACCAAACCTGTGTTTTCGCAATAATTTGAAACTGTTAATTAGATGGCAACCTTTGAGTTCAAAATTTCTTCAGTGCCATGAAGCCCTGGGTTTTCTGAATGTTTTTAAAACTTAAAAAAATACCACATAAGCAACAGAAAAAATATATGTACCTTACATTATAACTAATCTATAAAATAAATGTGTTAGAAATATCTTGGCTAAGGATTGTTCTTACATTTTGAGAAACTTTCAGATTTTCTTAGAGTGTGGTAGAGATGCTAATTTTTCCAGAGTATGTGCTAATGTTGTTCAGGAACAGTTTTTATATAACCAGTATACAATGGCATTGTATAATTGGAACGGTTATTTTATAAACTTATTTTTAAAAAAGGAACAGTTTTTATACATTGACTGCCTTTGGTGTTACAGTATTCACATTATAATTCTCTATTTCTTCAACACCAAGAATTCTCAATCTAGGTATCTGTATCTTTAGCACTAGCAATATTTGAAATACGGGCCTGGGAATGAAACAATTTGACAAAATTGAGCTACAAACCTTCCAAAGCCCATTTTCCATTTTACAGTATTGTAGAACAGCAGTTGACATCCTAAGTAAGAGATTACTGCTATCTTGCTTGACTCCTGCAGGATTTCCAGAATTATTTATTTATATTTACCCAGACCTTCTGTGCAGCTAAATTTCTATAGGCCATGGGCAGCTTACAAAAGGTCAGAACATGGGATTAAAAACATTAGACATATAAAGCACCAATCAATGAGTGTTAACAGTCCTCCCCACAGGTGTAGGCTAAACTTACATATTCCCAAGTGCATTGAAAAAAGAGTTCTTAAGAAGTGTGAAAATGTGGAGGACCAGAAAACCTGGGATAAGCTGTTCGATAGAAATATTACAAGATACTCTATTATATCCTGTTTATTTAGAGGAGGGAGAAGCTCTTACCACTGATGGATATTATATACTTCTTTACCCTAATTGTTCAGTGATTTATATCTGCCTAGTGACTTTGGCAGTTATAGCAAATCATGTTACATTATGCAGGTTTGATAAACTATTACATAAAGCATAGTAAGACTTTTCTCTCTCTTCCCGTTAGACTCTTTTATTTTAAAGGGACATATTTTAAAACCACTGGATAGCGTACCAATTTGGTCTCTTTCACACAGGAGGGCAAGCTACAAATATTTTTGTATGATAATAGTCATAGAGTAAGAAATATAAATATTGGAATTTCTATGTGGTTTTCAGCTAACCCGTTTTGCCCATAAAATAAGGGCAGTTCCCATCCTTTTGGAGCCCCGTTCCTACTGTCAAAACCTACTCCAGATGTTGTAAGATCCAAAGGGATGAAACATTCTCCAGTTAGGGAGCCAGGGGAACTAAAAGGAGAGATTTTCATCTAAGTGAAATTAAGGGGAAAAATAAGACTTATTAATTACATGAAACAATGTTTAAAGAGACTTGCAATTACTATTCTTAGGCCAAAAGAAGAGAGTTTGTATTGTTATTTATCCTTCTGTTGGGACTGCTCATGAAATCAGACAGTTATTCACATATAGGTAGTGTCAACATATGACCATAGTTGGGAAATAAGAGCTTCTGTTGTTAAGCAAAGCAGTTGTTAATTGAGTCACTGAAGTTGAGTAAATCACATGGTCATTAAGCAAATCCAGCTTCCCTCATTGACTTTGCTTGTCAGAAGATGGCTGGGAAGGTTGCAAATGGCTATAATGTGACATTGTAATACAGCAGTTGTCATACTTACATGTGAATTGCCAAGCACCTGAAATTTGATCATGTGGTTATGGGGGATGCTATGATAGCTTTAAGTGTACCAGTTTTAAGGCATTGTAACTTGGAACAGTTGCTAAACAAATGGTAGTAAGTGAAGGACGTCCTGTGCAGACGTTAATCAAGAATGCTTCCCAAGTTGTGCTGGTGCAGTGATTAGAATGCAGTACTGCAAGCTAGTACTGCAGACTGCCAGCAGTTCGATTCTCACTAGCTCAAGGTTGACTAGCCTTCCATCCTTCTAAAGTGGGTAAAATGAGGACCCAGATTGTTGACTCTGTACACCACTTAGAAAGGGCTGTAAAGCACTGTAAAGCAATATATAAGTCTAAGTGCTATTGGTATTGTTATTGTTAAAGCTGTTCCCAACTTATTGCTATTGCTAAGCAGCCATACCAAGTGTACCAGAGGTCACTGCTACCATAGCACTTTAAGGAGAGGTATTTTACTTGGGCCAAATTGTTTTATGAAGATCCCTTTGAATACTTTCCACAGCCTAGTCTCTCTCATCCAGATCGTTTGAAGTACAGTAAAAGAAATTCAACTAGAAAAGTCATGCTATTTCAGTTTACAGTACTTGAGATATAAAGCATTGTTAGTTTACAACTCTAACTACTATTATGAAAATACATTCTGAATTTATTAAGAAGATGTATAGTATATGTAGGTGTATTTTTTTTTTTTTTTTTTTTGTTAAAAGGCATTTTATAAAAATGTAACAGCTAGCCATAGAGTACCTACTACCTAATTAAGATGGGCACATTTATAAGGAAATTATAAATTTATTGTGGGAAATTGCTGAATACACATTGTCTGGTTTATAGTGGTAGACCCGAACCAACAGGCAGCTATCATTGTTGTAGGAATGAGACGATCAGCCAAACGTCTATAACAGATTTCATGGTTTTTTTTTAATCCGTTCTGCAAAAAAAAAAAAAAAAAATCCTCCAAAGGTTAAAACTAGGCTCTTTTCAGAAGCTAAATACTAAAAAGGGGTGATGTCTGTTTTATCATTTAGTAACAACACTGAAGTTATTCTGAAATGCTGCAATTAAGCTCACTTTAATATTCATTTAGCAAACATGAATTGAAAAAGTGGCTTGATCTTACACCTGTTTTTTGAGAAGACAGATGTCAGAAACTCCAACTCTCCAGCATAAGATTGATGTCTTCAACTTATGCAAGGGTATACAATAGTATGGGAAGTGCTAGTAATGCAGTAGTTTGATATATGGCTGGAGTCAAAGGCTAGACTATTATTTTAAGATCTGGCTGCCTTTCCTTCTAGTTTACTGACAAACAGAACTTACCCAGGAGAGCAGCCAAACTTCCCTTGTTTTAGTTACCAAATTGTTCCTGACCTTTTGTTTGGCTCCTTCCTTTGACTTCACAATGAAACACTGAACGTTGTTTTGCTGAACTTAGTTTTATTCTAAGTTTTGACAAGTATCACTTCATTTATATTCAAAATTAAAATTTAGTTTGAAACACCAAGTCTTTTATATATTTTATATTTTATATTATATTATACACCAAGTATTTTATATTTAAACCAGCAGCTTCAGATTAACATGGTCATTTTATGGGAAATGGATTATGGCTTGATTTCTTGTAAAGGTTTCTTTGGAGTGGGAGATGAATGTTGAGGCAGGAAATGTCTTGAATAAAATGCATCTTCAGTAAAGTTGTTCCAGTATTAAATCTCATATATTTTTAATGTTCTTACTTGCTTTCTTTTATGATTTTTAATATTGTACTTTTTAAAAAAAATATTGATTTTCTAAATTTTTAGTTTACTTTTTATTTTACAGTTTTATTTAGAGATGATTAAATCATTTGTTAGTTTATATTACCATAATCTTTTATAATTTAACACAATATTTTATGTTGAGTGTAATCAACTTAGAATAGTGTTGGTCGCACAGTGCTTGTCACATCTCCACAATACTATCAAGGTTATTGTAGCATTTCCATCTTTAAAACTTTGGCCCCTCAGATGCAGAGCACAGCTGTTGGAAAATATTCAGCTGTAAATCATAAGTATAACTATTTAAATTGTGCTGCTTTGTAAAAAATATTTCTATTTAATAATTTGAATGACTGAAAATGCATTACTTGTTAGAAAAATTGCATTCAAAACGTAGAGTATAAAAACAAAAACCATAAAAACAACAACAAAAAACAACAACTTAGACTTTTGAAAAAAAAACATTTTGAGTATCTGTTGTTACCCAAACTCTTACTTGTGATTGCTGTGAATCGACATTTCATTATACACTGAACCATTCATTCATTGAACGTATACACATTTCCTCCACTTTCTGGGAAACATGCACATTATAATCCATTGCATCTGACAAGTATTAAACTGTCAAGGATTATAGAACTTACCACCAGAAGATAAAAATAATAAGTTACTCTAAAATTCCTCTGTTGATTTTTTTCTCCTGTTACAGGTGCAACAACAGAACTCAATGTATAGTAGTTACTGGGTCTGATGTGTTTCCTGATCCTTGTCCTGGAACATATAAATACCTCGAAGTCCAATATGAATGTGTCCCTTACAGTAAGTATGCTTTTTTCCACCTTCTTCTTCTTTCCTTGCTCTAGCTTTCACAATTGATGCTGGAGCCATACTGATGGAGAAACGAAGCACATGTTTATGGCCTGAGAACCATTTTGCATGCAAAACACTTGCAGGCTAGGGCCTTCAATTAGCTTCACAAAGTGTGGAAAGGAGCCATGGTGTAATGCTGGCCAAGTGTCTGTCTGTGTTCTTAAGTGTTTGGCTTTTAAGGCTACTATAGTTGATGTTTTTTTCTTCTCAGAAAAAGAAACTTGAATTAGCTATTCAAAAGAGTCAATAGGAATTTGTACTTATGCCCAGTACCAGTTCTTGACAAATTGGCTTGGCTTGCAGTTCTGTAAAGAAACTACTGACTTTACTATTAGTTTTGAAAGGACTACTTGCTGTGGTAATTTTGGCTCATGAATTGGAGTGTGCCATGGAGGTATCTGGGAATAATATCCCGGGTATTACTAGATTTAGCACAATTTATTTTACCTCCAGCTTAAATCTCATGGTCCTTGATCAAGAATACACCTATAATTATACATATTCATCCTTTTTCCCTAGCAGAATTCCCTATTTTAAAAGCTACATGTCTACTCCATTAAGGGACAGAGTTGTGTGCAAAGGTTCAGGTACCCCTGGTCAAAATCTGCTTTTCACCAAATCCATAAGTGAATGGAAACTGACACAATCACTACATCATGTAAAATTAAGTCCTGTATCTTTTTGCAAATTTTTGGACATTTTATCAGTCTGAAGACAATCTAAACCATGGCTGCAAAGCAGTCAGGAGCTACTTACAAGTAAGAAAGATAAATGTTTTGGATAAGCCTTTACACTCCCCGAGTAAAATATTACTCACGGGTGTCAAACTCGCGGCATCACATTGCCATCACGTGACATATCGCAACATTTTTCCCTTCATGGACCTGGGGTGGGCATGGCCTTCACATGACACAATTGGCCTGTGGGCCGCCAGTTTGATACCCCTGAGTTAAAGTAAAATTTATCAGGTGTTAATTTCTTTTACAAAAGGAGGCACAGGTGGTCCTCACCTAGAAACCAAAATTGGGTCTGGCATTTCTGTTTTTTAAGCCAAAAATCACACGGTTGGAACTGTCTTATGACCTCACCTCCCATTTGGTCATGAAGTAAATTTGTCATGGTCATTAAGGGAGCATTAAGGGAAGTAACTGCAACTTATAATTTTATGTCTCATTCTCTATTTATTCTGCTTGTTGCAAGCCAGCTACAGATTACACAAATGGTAACCACATGACTTTGGGACTCTGCCACAGTCACAAACATGCACTATTTACCGAGAACCTGAATGGCAATCGGGTGGACTGCAAGCTGCTGGTGTGGTCATAAATGAAACAATTGGTTACACAGCTATTTCTTTGACACTGTTGTAACTTTGGAATAGCAATAGAACTTAGACTTATATACCGCTTCACAGTGCCTTACAGCCCTCTCTGAGTGGTTTACAGAGTCAGCCTATTGCCCCCCAACAATCTGGGTCCGCATTTTACCCACCTCGGAAGGATGGAAGGCTGAGTCAACCTTGAGCCTGGTGAGATTCGAACTGCCAAATTGCAGGGAGCCAGCAGTCAGCAGAAGTATCTTGCAGAACTGCATTCTAACCACTGCACCACCATGGCTTTTATGGTCATTAAAAAGGCAGTCAATAAATTCAACTTTAAGATCACAATCAGGATCAGATCTTCTATTGCTAAGTCATGCAGCCCTTAACTGAGTCACACCTGATAGTATGTCCTTTTTGCTGCATTAAGTGAATTATATGGTGATTAATTAATCATGCAATCTTTAAGTAAACCTGACTATTTCTCCCCCCCCCCCCATTGATATTGCTTATATGAAACCCTCTGGAAAAGTCACAGGTGGTGATCAGATGGACCCCCAAGACAGCTTAGCCATCATAAATATTGTTATCAAATGTTCAAATTTTGATGAGGTGACCATTGATACGCGAGGACTGGTCATAAATACCTTTTTTTCAGCACCTTCCTAACTTTGAACAGCTGTTAAAAAAATAGTCGTAAGTTGAGGACTACCTATATTACAAAATACCGACTGAAAACATGTCCAAAACCTTTGCATCTGCTATATTTGCTATTTTCTTATTTGGAATCTGTAAATAACTACACATTGAAAGTTTGCAAATTTGCAGAAAAATGTCATCATTAATGTACCATGTTGAGCCTGTGAAACTTGGGATTTGTTAAGGATTTATTGAAATATACAATTTAGGACTGCATCTCTATATATCTAATCTTTTCACAGAGGTTTCTGCAGTCCTCCTACTATAGCAACAGCTGGTCACAATCTTACATTGCTTGATTCACAAAAAGTTTTACTCTTTTTTTAGAATTCCATTGTTAAATATAAATTCAAACTTAGTGTCATCTTTTCTATCAGAAAAAAGATACTGCCTATAACTGTAAAATTTAGTGGGGCATGAATTGTGCATCCATTTATTTCTTGTGCCCTATTTAATTATTTTAATATTTACAAACTTAAGCTTTTTATAGTAAATGGGAGGTACATATTCCATAAATTGATAAATTTGGGATTGGTGCTATTCTTGTGTTAAAAACATGAACCAGGTTAACAATCAAGACTTCATCTATACTTTATATATGTATCCTCATTTTCCTAATTACATCATTAAAAAACACTGTAATATAATTTGCACTGGCAATCCTTAGTATTTATATGAACTTTACTAAGAAGCAATTAAAGGCCAAACACAGTTCATATTTTTTTTCCATTCTTGCTGTGTATTTCTACCATTGTGTCAGTGTAAAAAAGATGCTTGTTGTGGTTTTATTTTTCTGTACCATCAGTAGATTTGAAATGCACTGCATATGTTGAACTTTAATATATGTTTTCCAGTGTCTTATCATTATATCATTTTTCTTGTAGCATGTATGCACTTTTGCCTATTAAGAAAAAGATAATTTTGATCGTAACATTACCTTGAAATTACTATTTTAAATTACCAGAAAGAGGCTATGACACCATTCAAATATCAAGGTTCTTATATTTCTGTAGCAGGAGAAATGTTTAAATATACATAAATATTATTTTCAGATCATTTTCTGGGCTCTTAGGACAAATGTGGATGCATTCCTGCCAGTCAATTTTTTTTAAATATAAAAATGATTTCTTTTTCAGTTAACTGAAGAAAACTCTGAATGCCATTGCAAAATACTGTTCGGTGGTCATTTGTGACATATTTTCCTAAGTTTTTCTATGCAGGACTACTGTGGATAGAGTTTTTTTCTAACCGATGGACCAAATTTAAAGTTTAAATTTGAATAAATCTATTTGGAATTGATATTGGGTGAATATTTACTTTTTTAATTACATGTTATTTTTTTAAATCTCAAGCAAGCATACTGGTGCTTTGTTTAATTTGTACTGCATTTAAAGTGTAAAAATAGGTTTGTATCATATGCTGAAATAAAATTAATTCTGTAGCCCAATAATTGATTCCTATCTGGGTGCAGAGCTTCAACCTTTCTCGTGACTGATCTAGCACCAGCTTATTCAATTTGCAGATTTAAAAAAATAATGAGGCCAATGGAACAATGTTAATGTTAATAACTCTTAACTGCAGCAAAAGTATATTTAGTGCTGCTTACGTTGAATACCTAATTTTGGTATTATTGCCCTTATGCTTCAGGAACTTCCTAGTCAAGTGTATGGAAATCTCTCATTCAAAACTGTCTCTCTGTACTCATAGTAATTGTAGTTATATTGCCTTGCCCACTATTTATAATGGGCGGAGAAAATTATTCAAACAAATTAATTTAAGATACAAGTAAAATGGCTATTCTTTTTCTGAACGATTACTATGACATTTCAAAAAGCATTTTATTCATATATGTACATACTATATGTGCAGTAATGCCAAAATAAGGTACACACCTGTTCTCTGAAATTATCCATATTTCTGCGACGTATTCAAAATCTTCCTAGGAGCTTCATTTGCTTATTCGAATCTCTGCTCTTTTCTGTAGCAACCTGCTTTCAAATTTTCACTTTCTTCTTTCTGCAATGCCCAAATTCTTCCTTTTTCTGATTTTTACATTCTGTTTGCAAAATGGGATTGTAAGCCTTTCGTGTAAACATTTTGAGGTGTTGGAGGCTTTGCATTGATCATTCACGGCAACCACCAGTATCTGGGATACCATGTACACTCATGTTACAATTGTTATAAAACTGCTTATTGCACGTAATGTTGTGCATCTCGTTTACTTGCACTAAAGCACTGTGCTGCATGGTGTTGCATAGTTAATGCACTTATAATTCATCGTATGTTTCAGGTTCAAGACCATGGAGAGAGGAAACCATCATTAGCAGACAGTGCATACTGAGCTAATTTACTACCAATGCAGCTACAATATAAAGCATTATCTATTTTTTTATTAAAAACATGGAAGGATGATTGCAGTTTTTCGTTGCAGCCTGACTTTTGTTATTGTTGACCCCACTTGGCCATTGATGGATGACTGTTTCATGCTAGGATTGTATTCTCTTTGGGCATTTCAATTTCTTCTCACAGCTAAGAGGTCCAAAAGAATGAATAGATTTGGGATTCTACTTCCTTATAGTTTTTCTTTTCTTTTTACAAAATCATTACTGAAAAGGCCAAATGATCCAAAATCCAAAGTTCTGTAAGGATGGACCCTAATGTTAACCCTGGAATACATGAGAACAATTAATAACTAACTATATGTTTGAAAGCATCATTGGAATAAAAAAAAACAAGAACAGCAGAACTTTAGGAAGTCATAACATTTTAAATTTTATTATTTGTTCTCTTCATTTTGGAACCTTTCCTCTAGGCACATATTATTGCATGTACAAGAAAGAGGAGAAGAATCATCACATATGGCAGGCATTGGTCCTGCTATCTCAGATTTCCAGTTGTCATCAGTTTTGTGACATGCAGGGATTAGAGCAGA